CCTTTTAAAAACAAATGAGTCAAACTACATTAGAACACCCTTAATCCACTCCTACGCAGCGAAATGTAACAAATAAAACTCACAATGTCTTGTTTAAGGGAGACACACAACTATATATCTGATCCATAATCAGAATCTGAAATCCTTTATTCGTCCCACAGTGTGTACATTCACCGCGTTATAACAACGTGTACTGCAGATAAAGGCAAAAGCAAAAAGAGTAGACTAACATGATAAAAAAGAGGCAAGCACACGATTATATAAATAAAAATTACATGACATTTGTTAGACGCTTTTATCCAAAGCAACTTAAACACATTCAATACTGTGGACAACCCCCACAGGAGCAATTTGGGGTGAAGTGTCTCAGGGACACAACAACATGCTGACTGCAGTGGGACTCAAACCTGCTATGCCCTGATTCGAAGTCCAGCACACTATTCACTGAGCCACAGCCACATCATACAAACACACAGCCATGGTAGAAAACAGCAAGTGAACATATACAAGTATTAAAGGAGCCATTAATAACAATAAGTAACTGTTCTAATAAAGGATTTATTGCATAAAAGCAGTGGAATTTAATATTTAAATAATCGTCATGAATTTCTAAAGTTTCATTGTTTTGATCAAGTCTTTTGAGAGTTTTTGCAGCAACCATTATTGTTATTACTGGCTCATTTTGGGCACTTTTCCTTGTTTAACCCTCCTATTGTCTTCGTGTCCCCCCTTACTTTGGTGTTCGCGGTCAGATTTGACCGGTCCTGTTTTAACTGCTATTACATTAACACAAAAACCATTAATCATCACTACATGTCATTTAACACCCTTTCGAACTGTACATATTGTATCAGACTACTGGTATATATGAAGAACTGCAGTAAATATACAAAGAACAGACACTGAACATGTATTGCGTGTGCCAGGTGTGATCCATGTGGGGGGAGGGGCACATAAGAGCGGGAAATGTGTCAAATTGTTCTGTGTGTGTTTGTGAGTGCCAGGTGTGATTCACATGGGGGGATGGGCACATAACGGGGGGGACACACACACACACATCTAGAGTATGTGTGTGCGTGTGCGTGTGCGTGTGTGTGTGTGTGTGTGTGTGTGTTATCTGATCCGGATGGTTACTAATTCCTTTTCTTTAAGGCGGTCATTTTTGACCGGGAACACCATGGGTGTTACAAAGTTGACTAAATCATCCAAAATTCAATGAAAGTGGTGATCAGCCATTTTATATGTTCAAATGTCTACTGTGAAGGATATCATAAAGCCTTAATGCAATCGAATGTAAAACAAAAAAGTTATGATTGATGAAAGTAGTCAATCGGTCAGATTCGACCCGAAGACAACAGGAGGGTTAATACATGCACATTTCTGCAGATCACATCATGTTTTTCGTGTGTTTTGGAGGAGATTTGCAGCACAGTTTTCTCTTCAACACTCCTTGAAGCTGAATAAAACCACATACACCTCCCTGTTATCACTCCTGACGGTGCACAACATCTCAGACAAGCATGTTTCCAGCGAGCAGATTCCCAAGTCATGATAGAGGCATGAATCATGCTGCTGACGGCTATTTGTAAGGGGTTTCCCACCCTGCCACACAAAGAGGGCTTAGCTGAGAGGCAGCGTGTTCTCAGGCATTGTTTTCGGGTCGGGACCACCCGTTCCCCCACTGTCACTCAAACAATACAATGCTACAACAACCTGCTCTACGCCCCACCCCCACCCTATTTACTCAGACAGCCCCTCCCTGCTCCCACCACCCACACTTTGGACACAGGGAGTGGTGACATGATGTTTTTTTAGCGGTGAATGTGGACTATTAGTCAACAGCTGGGCCCCGATTCATTCTGAGGGGAAGTCAAGTCAAGTCAAGACACGGTGGATTTGCAGGAACACGCTGCAACATGGCAACAGGCGAAGGACATGAATATAGAACAACAGAGCGAGCTGTATCTCGGTTTTAGAAATGTCTGTATTTCAATGACACAGAAACCGTGATTATATGTGAAACCGGCTCTCTCTTTATCTACCAATAAACTTTTTCCATTTTCAAATTCAGTTCTTCCCTTATATATCCCTTAATTGATGTAGATATTGGATTAGACTAGATAAACTTAATCGAGCCCGAAATTGGAAATAATTTTGTTAGAGCAGCATCTTAACAACACATTGCAAATTCAAATATAATATCATTTTTAAAAAAATGGTTAAAACACTTCCAAATGCAGTTCTGAGACATTTCCCTTCTATTTATGTAATTTATTATATGATATGTATGAAGATTTCTTGCTATGTTTTTGTATTTAAATTTGTATTAACGTTTATGTCTAGGGAGATTGTGGCTCAGTGGTTAGTGCGCTGATCTTCGGATCAGGGGTCACTGCTTCGAATCCTGCTGTAGTCAACATTCTGTTGTGTCCCTGGACAAGACACTTCACCCCAAATTGTTCCTGTGGGGGTTGCCCTCATTGAATGTATGTAAGTCACTTTGGATAAAAGTTTCTAAAAAGTGATATGTAATGTAATGTAATGTCTTACACTGAACAAAAATATAAACGCAACACTTTGCACTTTACACTGTTTTTGCTCCCATTTTTCATGAGATGAACTCAAAGGTCTAAAACATTTTAAACACATTAAAAAATGTTTTAGGGTTTAACCCTAACACTAACCCTAACCCTAACATGTCAGTGGGTGACATGTTAGGGTTAGGGTTAGGGTTAAACCTGACTGGTTGTCGGACCCCCCCAGACCCCCCCAATAAAGCAAAACTGCACGTTTCAGAGTGGCCTTTTATTGTGGCCAGCCTAAGGCACACCTGTGCAATAATCATGCTGTCTAATCAGCATCTTGATATGCCACACCTGTGAGGTGGGATGGATTATCTCGGCAAAGGAGAAGTGCTCACTATCACAGATTTTTTCAGATTTGTGAACAATATTTGAGAGAAATGGTTATTTTGTGTATATANGAAAATCTTTGGAGGGAGTTGAAAGTCCGTGTTGCCCAGCGACAGCCCCAAAACATCACTGCTCTAGAGGAGATCTGCATGGAGGAATGGGCCAAAATACCAGCAACAGTGTGTGAAAACCTTGTGAAGACTTACAGAAAACGTTTGACCTCTGTCATTGCCAACAAAGGGTATATAACAAAGTATTGAGATGAACTTTTGTTATTGACCAAATACTTATTTTCCACCATAATTTGCAAATAAATTCTTTAAAAATCAGACAATGTGATTTTACTGGATTTTTTTTTTTCTCATTTTGTCTCTCGTAGTTGAGGTATACCTAGGATGAAAATTACAGGCCTCTCATCTTTTTAAGTGGGAGAACTTGCACAATTGGTGGCTGACTAAATACTTTTTTGCCCCACTGTACTTACACATCCTTAGATGCAAATTCATAAATGTATACTACCTTTAATGCTCTCCCACATATAACCTCTTAGCCTTGAATACACTACTCAAGTGTTTTCATGGTGTTTATGAGTGTTTGATGTGTGTACGCAAATAATCATGCCCCAAGCAGTAGTGTGTCAAATTGTATGATGGTGTATGTGTGAGTAAGTTCAAGTCAGATATATGACTTAAATGGCTTCTCCTAGTGACTTTAATCCTAGTGATCAATTGCTTAAACAAATACGTATAATGTAGTTAACAATCTGGCAACGTAAATGATCAGTAAGAGGTCGCTGTGTGGGTTACTGCCACCCGAGGCCAAGTCTCTTTTATCTGTGCTGCACTATGTACTGCTGCGCACGCACACGCGCACACACACACACACACACACACACACAACGCTCCATTGTTCTTCCGCCTGGTAGGCTCACTGTGGTCTAAAAGAGTAAACAAGTGAGTGTACAACATCTACTTGTTCTTGTTGGGTTTTCTGCTTAGCTACACCGTTCTTCATAGTGACAGACCAACAACTCTTCTTTCCAAATACAACTATGACAACACAAAAACAAAGATAAGATTAATTTAAGAATGATATTTACTAACTTTACTCACACTCCATTTAATAGTTATATTGTCAAGCTCTAACTCATTATAATGACTGAATCTAATGTAGGCCAATGAATACAGACTACAAATTCCCTCTACCTATATCTACGATCTCACTTCCTCTGTGTAATAATTCAAGCCTTTCATGGAGAGTTACTGTTCGCTGAACAAGAGGAGGGAGATGTCTAGTTCCTGCTGATGGAGAGAGGAAACATGCCAACAGTATCAGGTTTAAGTGCTGACTGGGACTGGATGTGTCTGCTAAGTAAAGCAAAAAAGTATTCAGCAACACAGATGCACAAATGAGGGCAAGTGCAACAGTAAAGGTGTGTGGCTGCAATGTACAGTGTTTACACGCGTGTGCATTTCTTAGTTCTCAGGGACATAATGAGATCAGCAGAGTGCTGACCCGTCTTTAACAGAGGGACGGAGCACGAGAGGACAGCATGTGTTGGTGACAGAAAAACAGCGTAGGCAGTTGTTTTTACAACTCAGGTTGACTGCTGCAGTGACCGCTCTCTCCTTCACAGAAAGAAACAACCAGCAGCTCCCAAGTGCTGAATCTAATTGCAATGCGTGGTAAATAAAAGCACAAGATGAAACCTATGTGAGTTTAGTTCATGTAGGTATACTAGGGGAGGAGTTGAAAATATCATGTCACGCTTATCCTGGTCAAATTAACTGCAACACATAGTAGTATACTGATAATCATCAATATATGCTTAAGTAAATGGCACTGAACCATACTGGAATAACTTCATTGTATAAATAAAAGATAAACAAATAGCAACATTCTGTAAATGTGTTCCTTCTTACATGATCATTCCTGTATTTTTCTAATCTGACTATTTTGCACTTTTCTATCAATACAATGACTTTTACAGCTTTTTAAAGGATATTCACAATCATCCAATGACTGGAAATTCATCAAATTCAGTCCTATATAGTCCCTGCAGACTGCATGTGTGTGTGTGCTGCATACCGGCTCTCTGAATGGAGTCGGTCAGGATCCTGTCAGCGGTGTCGTACTTGGTGTGATAGATGAAGCCATTTTCAATGAAAGCCAGATCAATGCCTATAAAGATAATAAATAAAAAGGAGGGAGAAAAAGAAATAGAATAAAAGCGCATTTAATGAATCGGCCACTGGACAATTTTGACACATAAATGCTCCATACTTCAAATATAGATTATTTTTGTACTTTAAAGACTGTTCTGCATTACCTGGGATGTTTCCAAAGTCCCTGTAGATGCGGAAATCAGTGTCAGAGGGGATGATGCCGCTCTGAAAGACCTCCTGGCCCACCACAGAGGCAAAGGGGTGTTTGGCTGCTTGAACGTAGGCCTGGACCAGCCAAGGGTTCTCTGGACCTTTAGGGAACAGGAAAATAAATTATAGATATTTTATATATCGGACAACATCTCATCAAAGAATAATTATTCTGTATGAAAAGGTCTATAACCCTATTTCTTTCTGTCTTTGATTGAAGCCGTTTTTGTGTTTTAAGCATACGCTTGTTTGTGTCACTTTCAGACAATTCACTTGTTTAACAGAAAAAAGGCATTGCAATTATTTGAATGCTTTTCCAGTTACATGAGAAAGATATGCGTACAAACAAATATGCAAAACTAAAATGCAGAGGATATCAGAGGGAAAACATGCTCATAAACAAACAGAACTTTTGTTTGATATAGTACCTGTCTGGAAAACAACTTCTTTGCCCCCAACACCTGCAGCCTCCAAGTTAATAAAGGCTCGCACCTGCTTTGCCCACGGATGCTGAGTAATGAAACCATGACTGGCCTGATGGAGGAGAGGAATACAAAAGGGGACACATAGTTAGAAAGGGAGGAAGTTAGAATGAAAGAGAGGGGAACACAACATAAACTAGAAAAATGCATTTCCTGCAGAAAATGCATGCAAATGTTGTAAAACATTTGTGGCTGAATTTAGCTGAAAATGTAGAAAAAGCTGAATATTGTATTAGTTGAATGTTCTCTGTAGCTGCTTTTAGCTACAAAAACCAAGTGAGTGTGTTGCTGAACTTAGCAGAGAAATGCAGAAAAGTGATTAAAATGGTTCCAGCTCAAATGCATTGCAATGACTTCAGTTTGTCATTGTTTGTTTCGGTGCTGAGCACCTAATCATAACACCTAATCATAACACCTGTGTGTGAGCCCAGAGATCAAAGGTGTCCATGGTGAAGACGTTATCAAACACCTGTGTGCAGAGATCAAAGGTGTCCATGGTGATGTGCAGTGATCTGTGAGAGGAGAGCCTTTCCACTGATCTGAATGAGAGATAAACCTCTTACATTTGAACGTTTTGTTGAAGAACCGTTGCAGCTTTCTGCTAAAATGTCAACGCGTGAAGCATGTCAGGACCGTGAGGAGCATCGGAGTCTGCTTTTTGTGTACTTTCGGGTCAATAATGTGGCATTTTTGGCCGATTTACTAAAAGGTGTGCAGCTGCTGATGTGAGGAAAGATCAGGCTGAATTTACAATGGACCTTAATGGAGACATGTTGAAAGCTTTTGTCACTTCATGCCCTCAAGAGGCATTTTGTTGAATTTTTTTGCTTAATTTATTTTCATTTTTCAACGTAGGAGAGGTTTTCCTACGTTTTTCAAGGAAAATGATGTCCAAGGCATGTAGGGTTTGGGAGTTATGGCAGATGATTTTGTTTTGTTTTTTATAAATTGGGCGAATTTCCAGCACTCTGTTTTGAGATCAAAGCACTCTAGACCAGTGGTTCTCAATCTGTGGTACGCGAGCTCCCGCTAGGTGGTACGCGGAGGAATCTGAAATATTTATAAAAAAAAATAATCTATTTTATTTTTATTATTTTATCTTAACCTTTATCTTACACATACATAACAAATACAGAAAACACAACTAACTAAACAAAAAGACGAAAAGCAGTCACTACATTGTGCACATTAGGACAGTAAGAAAGGTGCACTACTTATTACTGCAAGAGCAGCTGGTGGTAAGGACCTCAGACAACTTCCATTTAAAACAGGCTATAGATGAGAGTAACAAATGCGTCACTTCCGGGCAAAAATAACGGCTCCGCCCACTTTCCGGGGAAAACAACGCCACAGAGCTCTTCTTTTACTGTCCTTTCTTCTTAGACGAAGTACAGAAACACTGAACTGAATGTTTGAGGTGCAATAAACGACACGGCAGCTTTTTGGCATGATAAAACTATTATGTTCTGCCTCGCTCATGAAAGTAACAGCTGGAGAAATTACAGCCTCGTCTACTGATTTTAATCTAACCATATATCAAGACCGATTGTCGATTTCCAATGATCAAATGTAATTGTTTGCCTGACTGGCCATCGTAATCGAGCTCTTTGAAGAACCAAAAAAACTGTTTATGCGTGACACCCAGCCGCCGAGTAGACAGGGGTGACGTCGACTTAGGTTTAAATTACATTGGGACCAACATAAAGGCTTGACCAAACACAGAGAAAAACATACCTGAGTGACACGCGACGACGACTACCTCAGTGAGCGTCAGATGTAATCGTCGCAATCGTGACCCGCGCAACACCGACGCGTGACAAACGCAACGACCGCCTCGACGCGAACGCGAGCCGAACTGCACAGGAGGAGGAGTAAGTGTACAAGGCGGAAAGCGACCATTCTAAAGAGAGACATGGAGAGAAGGCATATGGAAGTGGCAAAACTCGGTGCAAAAATGGTATTAAGTCGAAAGAAGAAAGACAGTATTCGAACGAACGTGCAAGATTAGTACGCCCATCATACTAGCAGTATCGTTGGCGGTTTTTTAATTAATTTATCTTTTTTTTTTTACAAGCAAAGATTTAGATTTTTTTGGTGTGATTAATCTTGATTAAGGTTGGTGTCAAAGTTAATAGAGTCGAATAAAGGTAAGCAACATCATAAAAGTATCATACTAACTTACCGTCAGTTCTGTTTAAGACTTTCAAAAAACGGTTAAGGCTAGTTTTTAGAAACNCCCCCCCCCCTGACGTCGAGGCGGCAAAAGTAGAACATTGCTCTACTTTTGCAGCGAGCACCGCGAGAGAAGATACGCTTTGCTCCCACAACTGCAGTTCGGCGAATCCTGACGTCACCCCACTTGAAGCGGCAATGCACGCCGCCGTGTGTAGGGCCGTAACACCTACGTGACTTTACGGCCCCGCCCACTTTTGGGGGAAACAACGCTGTCATTTGAATGGCGATCGAGCCTGAAGCCACAGAGCTCTTCTTTTACTGTCCTTTCTTCTTAGAGGAAGTACAGAAACACTGAACTCTGGATTTGTTTTAATGTTTGAGGTGCAATAAACGACACAGCTTTTTGGCATGATAAAACTATTATGTTCTGCATCGCTCAAGAGAGTAACAGCTGGAGAAATTACAGCCTCGCCTACTGATTTTAATTTAACCGTATATCAAGACCGATTGTCGATTTCCAATGATCAAATGTAATTGTTTGCATGACTGGCCATCGTAATCGAGCTCTTTGAAGATCCAAAAAACCACGGTTTTCA